ATAAAATAAGAGCCTCTTATCTTTTCAATTTGCTAAGATATTGCTCATGTGATAAATCAAACATAGTGACATCCCACCCACCTTTTCTCTATTTTTGGAAACACTCCCTTATATACACTTACTTCTATATATGACATGAATAACCAATCGGAAGCTCGGAATGTCCCCCTAGTAGCTCTCTCAGCCATTTTAATGGTCTTGGCACCATTTCTTTCTTTCGAACCAATAGTTCAACAAGGTAGGGTGTGTCTTTAGTCTGCTCTAAATTTCATATTTTCTTAGGCTAAAATACATCTTAGTTACTAAGCTTGATAAGTTATAGTGGAATTCTTTGGTATTAATGTAGTAATTTATGATTTTTTAATTATTCAAAAGTATATATAAAACCTAAAAAAAAATATTTTGTTTCATATCTTCCATGTGCAAATTTTTTAAGGCTTAGTAACCTACGTCAAGCAGCAACTGAGTACAAAGGTCATAACTAGAAGAGATAATTGTTTGCTGTACTTCTTTATTTACTGTTCTATATTTTAGAAAAAACATGTTTAAGAACTTATTTCCAAATAACAATAATCTACATACATATATAATGTATAATAACTGAAATGTGCTGTATTTTCCAAAATACAAGTATACTAAAACAAGTTACTTTGTTATTTGATATGGTAACATGAGTGCAAATGAGCCACATCATTGTAACTTCTGTATTGTTAGCCAGGCACAGCTGAAAGGCCAATACGAGGTTTAAGCTATTTAGTTTAAACATTTGTTTTTATGTTATAATTTGTGTTCATTCTAGAATGAAGAGGTATAATTTATATTTATTTCCTAATTTTTTATGGTGGTTGCTAGATTGGTCAAATCTAATGAACCTGTACAGAGACTAACAGAAAACATATCAAGTTTTTTCTTAAGAAATGTTTGATAACTAACCGGACATTATAAGGATTTTGCCTGTGAACTTTCAAATTTTCTGATGCATAAAAGTATTTTTAATCTTAAAATGAATATTACTTTGCATGACAGATAGGCATTATGTGAAAATAAAAAATAAACATGAGAAAAACATTGCTCTACAAACCTTAATACTTAATAAAAAAAAATTGATATTTTACATATGAAAGCATTGTAATGTTTACTGATAATCTACCAAATTTCATTAACATTTGCTCACTAATTTTAAAAGTTATAATATGAAAACTATAACAAGCACAAAATGGTTACGAAGTTGGTCCAAGGGACCAAGCCCGTGCTGAAAGAGATAAAGCCTATAATAGTACAGACAGACATACTATATGTCCAATAGTAATATGTGGATCCAGTCATGGTTCCCACAACTGAAATACGGCAAGATAAACATGTAGAAATCAAAGTTTTGGCTTATCATGGATACTATATATAACAGAATAATAATATTTGATGATAAAGAGGCTGATGGAACACCCACAACTATGGCTTAGCCTACACAAGTCTCAGTGTGAGCATTTTTAAGACTGTATAAGCTTATGTAAAAAACGAGAAAGACAAAAGGTATCTAAACAACTTAGTTGAGTTTTTGGGAGTAATAAAGGACCTCTGTAACAATACCAACAATTATATTGTCATAAACAATACAGCATCTAAAGTACCTAACAAAATTCACAAACTCAGTTTTTACTAGTTTTCAGCATCAATTAAGAAATATGTAACACAATACGTAATGTACAGACAATATTTAAATTTATTTCATATGAATAACTTCAAAAATTTTTATTAATGAAGCACTAGAATGAAAAGAATATCAATATCCAATTAATCCAGTATTAAAATACAGACCTTTATCTTATCAAAAACACAATGAATGACTTACCGGTCAAAAGATGTTGATTTCCAAACAAAGTCAACTACAAAGTTGGATGTACATTCAGAAGGGACTCCTAAGTTTGTTTTCATTTCAATACCAACTTCTTCACTATAGTCTATTAGAAAGTCAGTAAAGGAGTAGAACCATAAGTTTTTTTAAGTGGACTGAATCGACATTTTAAGTTTAAATGGACAAAGACTTTACGAAAAATGCATGATAAAGCTTTATCCATCTCAAACTTTGAAAATTTTAAAAGTCAATGTTCCTCAAAATAAGAAATTATTTTAAAATAAATAACATTTCAGAAGGATACTGTCAGGGATCTTGATCACATGGCCAACCCCAGACCATGGTTTATGAAGTTCTCCCAAATATCGCAGTCTCAACTCATCACCATGCATAAGTCTCATGTCTAAAAAACACAGATAAAGTAATAAATATATTTCAAATTGTAAAGAATTGTTTTGAGTAATTTAACACAATAATCCTATTTACAATACATTACTTTTCACATGTGAAGTATCAAATATCTGAAAAACATAAACCTAAAATACGATTTATGACAAAGTTTTTAAAGAATACATGAATATTAATCATGGCATAATGAAAATTTAAAAATAAATTTTATCAGTTTTATAATTAGTAAATTTATAATTAAAGTATAAACCGAAATATGAAACAATGTCATTTAAATCTTAATAAATTAAATTACAGGAAACAAAAAGATCTAGATTTGGTAGTTTATGAAATAGTAATACCTGTATCTGACTTGGCAATGGTAAAATAGGCAATGATCTTCTTGTTCAATCCAATATCCCATCGCACTTCAATATTATCTTGAGTCTGGGATTCCTTTAATTTCTTGTCATAATCTGCCTCCATTTTCACAAGTGGTCCAAATATGTTTTGATACTGATAACCATCTTCATATCTGAAAATACATAAAATATACCTCTATATTTATACACACAGTAATAGTTCTTCAATTAAGTATATACGAGTGAAACCTTTTTTTTAATTTGATGATGACGCACCCTCTAATGCTAGTGGTACCTGTATTTGTTATATGAAGTCCACATTCCATGCTTTTATATTACATAAATGCTTAGAAAATTTTTATATTAAAGTTAATATCAGTAAAATTAGACCAATTATTACAATCATAATCTACAAAAAATAAAGAATTATTTTTATTGTATTTATCACTTTAATTACAACACAGTAATGAATGTGTCAAAACTATATATTCACTCGTTGATAGTATACCTTAAAAAACAAACTTTTTACATCACTTTGCAATATCAGCTTATTTTCACTAGTTCATCCCCCACCTCAAACATTTCCTATCATTATCAGTGATGGTAGCTAACAGATCTTATGTCACATAAAAAACAAAAAAAATAAAGAAAAAGTGTTATGGTGTGAATGCCTTTTCCAAGCTGCCAAAGCATGATACTAGTACATTACTATTAAGCATATTAAGTTTGTTAACACTGAATTTTTTTATCTAGTCCATTAAGGATTTTCAACATTTAGAGAAGTGTGTAATAATAGGATTTCAACCACACTATGGTTTATATAAATGGTGTTCTAATCACTACTTTGTTTCTTGTGTCCCAGCCTACCTGATGCACTCTGGATTGAATGAAATGTATTACCTGCTATAGATATTGCAAACATAGTGTGGTTCAAATAGTATTATTATACATTCTTCTAATTCTTTTAAATTCTTAAAAGACTAGAGAAAGAATGGAGTGTTAAAAAGTATAAGTGGCCTAAAACTAATGTCTTATGACAAGTATAATTATGAAGTGTTTTATAAAAGGCAAACTACATGGAAGATGATCTCCAAAATGACAAAGATTTGATCAAACAATCAATGCTGAATTGTAAGTGCACACAGTTATAAACAAATTGTAAACAACTTGATCAGACAAAGCAGTATTGATATTCATATACCTACATTACCGTTCCAAGTTTTAATGAAAATGCATTTTTATGACAAGAAAATAAAGGTACTTACTTATTAGTTGTAATAGTTATAAAGACTGTTACGTAATGGAACACATACAAATTCAATAAAAAGTATTTTTGTTTCAACATTGGGTAGGTAGAAAGATTATGGTTTGAGGCTAAAATGCTACAAACTAGTGGACATTTACTCTACTGCATATAGAACAAGTAAAGAAAATTATTACAGTATTTTACAAGGACTGCAGTACCTCTGGTGTTAGACTTATTGGCCAAGGTTTCATTTACCAACAGTACAAAGGTTCAAAGCATACATCTGAACTGTGCCAAGGATACATTGAAGTAAAGGAACAAGGTATTTTCCAAAATATGAATTAAATATCACAATACTCAGTCTTATCACCTACTGAACTCATGAGATAAATTTGTCAAAACATGAGAAACCTATAACAACAAATAAACTAACAAAACTGTGGCAAAATATTCATACAGACTGGAATTTCCTAACACCTGGTAAGAGAAAAAGAACAGCTGTTATTAACTCTATCAACCATGGGCTCGGTCACTTTGACCAATCACATAACCTCTTTGTACTCATTTAAACTCTTTATACTTTTGATACCACTAACTTTTAATATAGTAAGTATATCGTCACAAAATTTGGAAGACTTTCAGTAAACATTACAAGTCTTTCTCGTACAAAAAAATCATATTTTTAGTGAAGTATTTTTAATAAACTAAAAAAGTTTTGTCCATAAACATATCAAGTATTTATTTTTACTAGTCTGCGTGCAAATTTATTTTACATGTTAAGATTAAAAATACTTTTCTTCATCTCAAAAATCTCCTAAATACATTACAAGTGTTTGTTTTCGGTAAAACTTTGTATTTCATCTGTTATTTTCTCTACCCTAACTCTATACAAGGTTGGTCAATTTGATCAACCTTGTAATCACAAAAAAATAAATAAAAAAAAATACTAGATTACCCTTTTTTCTTTCCAGAATGACTTCAAATTGTGACATGAAATGATATTCGTTTATCCTAAGTGTCTTTAAACTTGTATTTGTACATAAATGATAGTTTTATTGGCCTTTAAACTGTGCCTAACTACTATTCTTGCCATTATAAGTTGTAAATCACTTGGGGAACATGGAGCTCACGTTACGCTATTAAGTTACATTACCCACGAGCTGCTCGTATGCGTTCCTCATGAAACATTTTTATCATATTATTATTTATTTTACCTAATCTAACTCATCTTAATTAGCGTATAGGGATCCCTATTTTTACATTTCAGTTACTTTTATAACAATAAACATTAAAAACAAGAAATAAAGTACATACCCGAGTCTTCATTTTTTTTGCTATTGACTGTCGATGACACTTAACCTTATTTTTTGTTATACTAGTGGTAGTAATGCACTAAATAATTTTTATTTAATTAAATAATGAACCAAAGAACCTAGAATAATAACATGCAAAAACAAAAAATTTTCCCTAACTATCACAATTTTTCTGGCTCTCTAAATATGCGACCAGAGCCATTACAAAATAATCCAAGCTAGTCGTTATCTTTCCCATGGGAACAAAGCGTGTACTAACAGAGAAAATGACAATTCCCTGTTCAGAGAGAACTATTAACAAATCCTGAAAGAGAGAATGTGACAGGCAGGTGTGGCAAAAGGGGTCTGATTTTCTACTTGATGACTCTCTAACCAAACAAGATCATTGGCTATAAAAATTATGGTTTGTCTGAACAATGACGATTTTATAATGAGTAATTTAAGTTGAATGTTGTACTTATCGGAGGGGTGGTGAATAAAATAGAGAAGAGGGGATGCTTAGAGAAAATATGTCGCATTTCTTACACTAGGGAAAATTCATGATTTTTTAAAATATTGCCTTAAAAATTAAGAACTTAAAACTCATATACTATTAAACTATGGATTATTAGCTATGATTTTATGTTATACTAATGGTATAACATAAACCAAAAGTAATTTAATTAAATTTTGAATGTAAGTCACTAAAACCTCATGACATACTTAGTAAAGGATGCCTGTGGCAACAGGGTTAAAGCCAAAGGTAGATGAATGTTAGGGTTAAGTGAAAATATTTATATTATAAATGTAATAATCCAATTATCTAATTTAGTATATATATTGCTATTAAAAGGCATAATTTAATTGTTAAGTGTTTAATTCAATTTTGGGTGAAAAATGTGTGCGCTTCCAAATTTGTGTACAGTAGTGTATGTTTAAATGACTACAGAGCTTATGTACTAAAAAAATTGTGAGAAAGGAAATGACAAAAAGTTGAATAAAACAAATAATGTGCAACAGTTGCCAAATTAAAATAAGTTTATTAACAAATATAAAACCAATTTTTAAGGCAACAACCCATGGATTTCCAGTGGGGAGAAAACTGCAAAATCTATACAATTTGTTGATATTTACATTTTTTAATAGCATAAGGAGGTGAGTTAAATGGAACACCTGTATAAATGATAAACACAAATAAACCCTATATACACACTGAACAGCAGAGAAAAGCTTTTATTCTAATATTTCTAATAATATCAACAGCAACCAATTACAAACAAGTCAAAACAAATAGGACTTCCTGTTGTCTAACAAAAGCATATTTTCTTGTGTTGACATTCTGTTTGTGTAAATAACTTCCACCTCCATTTAGTTAGTCTAGCATTTATATAAACAATGTGCTCATCCCAAAGAAACTCTGTAAATAGACATGCAGGTAGTTTTTTTTTTACAAAATCAATAAATAATATGTATCTCAATACCTTAACAGAACTTGCTGAGGTTCTTCATCAACACCAGGTTTCTCCAGGTCTTGAAAAGTGGCATCAACATTTTCCTATTAAAAAAATTAAAATTAAAAAGTAAATTGGTTTTCAAATCAATAGGTGTTATTTTATGTGTGTGTTTGTGAAACTTGTAGATTTCAAAACAGAATTTCAATAATTACCTTCCATAATTCTTCCAACTTATTTATTTGTTGTGCAGTGATCTGACGTGCCCGGAGTTGTTCTTGCTCTTGCGGAACTTTAACCAACCAAGTCAGAAAGGTGCGGTCGTTAATTAAAGGTTTCCACTGCTCGGGGTCCCTACAACATCAATTTCAAATTACCAGTGGCTCACAAAATGGATAAATATTGTATATCTTTTACCATTGGACAAAAAGTTGTTCATAATAACTTATATGTAAAGAAAAATGTGTATCTCAAGATTTCTACAGATACTTTCTTCTTTAGAATGTACTTGTTTTGTAGATATTTTTAAATGAAAATTACAAATTAAACTCAATGTAGTTTTTTTACTTCGTCAATCTAGTCAGTGGTCAACAAGCAAAATAACACAAAAAGTTGTCATCTACAATTTTCAAACTTGCAATATAAATAAAAAATAAATAAAGTTTCTATCATCTAAATTTCTGAAGAATAAACCATGTGGTAAAATGCCTATTAGGATAATGAGGTTGAAACTTTTATAGTTCACATAACACTGGTCGACAAAATCAAACTTTTTTTTTCTCATCAAAGATGTAAACACTTTTCTTGACCAGTTTTGCTGATTCCAATTCGTTTTTCTTATATTACATCTCGTTATCGAAATATGACTGGTGTTAATTTCAGCACAATTTAGGTAATAATCACACATTAGGCTAGTTAACATTACAACTTTATTCATTTTTCAGTAGAATTCTCACAAACATTATACACACCATACACTTGGTTAAATTTATACAATACACCCTTATGAAAAAAGAAAGGTACAAGAACTTAAATTATAATTAAGGCTTTCAACTTTGATCAGTCTCATCACAAAAAGTTGATGTGTTAGAGGAAAACCAAAAACAGATTTGGAATCAGTGTCCCAAGAGCTATCTAGCCCACCTATAATTATATCTGATGAAAATGACTTGTTGCCCAGTGTAATATTCACTGTAATTTTAGTTATTATATATATAAAACTAAATAGTTATTGAAAAACACAACTAATGTCACAAATATGATTTTTTTTGTAACAATTCTATGGGTTGAACATTTAATATTTAAAATGGAAAAATGAAAGAGCCCATAATACTTAGTGGCTGTACAAAACAAAATTAAACATTTATGTACCTAATGTAAGAGTTTCATAGATACAATAAAGTAAGTAAAACTTTATACAGGCTGTGAAGTGAAGCAAAAACTTTACAAGTCATAGTTCTAATCTGTATTTTTTCAAATTACACCTTCTAAAATACTGAATCTATTACCCTTGAAAAAGACAATATTAGAAAAATATTTTGTTTCATGAAAAGCTGCACAAGGATTATCTGTGCTAGTCTTCTGTGATTTTGAAGTGATAAACATGGGGGAAGGCAGCTAAGCAATAACTACCACTGCCAACTCTAGGGCTACCTTATCAAACTGAATATTTTCAAAACGAGACCCAAAACTCAAGCGCTTTCAATAAGTTATTCGAAAGTGCTCGAGTTTTGGGTCTCGTTTTGAAAATATCACAACTTTTGTAGGTGATCCTGTGTGCTAACTACTTAACCTGGATTTATCAAACTGAATAATGGAATTTGACCATCACTCCTATAATGCACCCATAATTCCAGTGTGGAGTATGAATTATTTTCTTTTGGTAATGGGATAAAAACCATGGAACCTCAGCTTCAAAGTCTAACATACTATCCATTGGGCTCACTTAGAGAAAGATTAACTCAATATTTTAAGCAATAACAAAGTCAAGCAACACTAATTGCAACTATTTAAATAAGAGTATGTTTCCTTAAATATATCAAGATGAACAATGAAACCTAACAACCTGTTAAAAATTATTTACACTTTTAAAAATAAACAAGCATTTATTTATAATTCAAAATGCAGCAAAACAGCACATAAATGTTTACCATTTTATATAAAATTAATTCCAATTTTTATACAACATATGTAATGGTTTTAGTATGTTAATCATTATGACTATAAATGGGCAAAGCATCTATGATGTGTACCTACTTATCTAGTAAAAGTAATAAAAACATCTTGCCATAATAGTAAATGATGTGTAATTCATAATTTATAAAGGATCATTACTATAGCTTTTAAGTTTCATACGAAAAAAAAAAAGCAATATGAACAAAATTCATCAAATAAAAAAGAGTCATGCAACACACAAAATGATGAGAAACTCAGGGTTACTATTTTATTAATATTAGCTCTTCTACTGTAGGTCACTTTAAAAACTTGAAAGATTGAATTATATAAATAAATTTTTCGGTTGTTTTCTATTCATAGAATTTATGAGGTTTCCATCATAAAAAGTAGCTCTGTTTCTTTTAATGATTTTATTCTGAAATAAGCAATATTTAAGAATATCATGTACAAAAGTGAATTTTAGATATTCATTGTACAAAGTCCGAATGCTTCAAATCCTAAAGAAATAGTAAATACACACTTAAATCATATGCATGTGATGACTAGTGCCAAAATATTCCACTTTAGATTTTAATTGGCTGGAAAACAAACATCTGTAAAAATATTTGGTTCAAAATTGATAATTTATTGATATTCTGTAATAATTATTAAAACATGGAACAACTTGGTATTGCATAATTATAATTCTTACAAGAATATAATTTTCTTACCAGTTCATATCTTTAAGGCTACTTTGAGCAGCACATGGTTGACGGCACAGAAGCACCACAACTGAATCAGCTTTTGCTGGAATGAAGCCAAGAACAAATACATTACGGCAACCACAACTGTAACATTCCAAAACAGTTTCTCCCAAAGGTCCATCTTTATGAAGAGTCACCTCCTTGTGTTTGGCACGTACCAAATGATTGATTACGTGACTGCAAACAAAAAATATTGCGCAAAAGTCACATACATTTTCAATTTGTATTACAAATTGGCAATATGATTTGAAAATCATAACTAATATTCTCCAGAAGCTGAATATTAAAGTTATAATTATCCTACAGTGAAAAATGTATTTCCGGTAGATACTTATTGCTTCTCATATAATAGCTTTTCTCGTTCAGTACTGCCCTCTATATGAGAAAATGTTTTGTTCACCACGAGCCTTCATACTCCCACCTACCCCATGTGTTTAATGTGGTACAATTGCATTGTAGCATGCAAATAAGCATGTGACAACTCTCCACCAATAGTAGCATGGTACACTCTCCTCGTGCATATGACTCCCTCTATACAGTAGAACACAATCTTCACTTCGAGATTGGGTAAAAAGAAGCATTAGAAGCAGAGAGGAAGGGTGGGAAGTGTGAGAAGAGGTATCTATCATAAATACATTTTCAGTTTAAAAATTGTACCTTCCGATATGATACTTTACCTCTTCTCACATAATAGATCTGGGCAGAAAAGGAGCACATCTGACTGTATTCAGTGGAACAACTCCAGTCAAAAACCTGGTGACATCAGGTATTTATTATTTTGTACATGGTAGGAGGAGGGTCCCTACCATTTTCACCTCACGATGAGGAAGCAGATGGGAAAATGGCTTCCGTTCTGCCATCCCAGTCAGAGCTCATGCACATATCCAGTGCAAAACCAAGACCAGGCCACCCAGGAGCCTAACATCTGGGCAATGGTAAGAAGGGGAAATGCAACATGGTGGTTCACTCAAACCCAAGATCTGGTTGCATTGGAAATTGATTCTCCAGTCTGTGGTAGGACGAGGGTTCCCTATCAACCACATGTGTGAGGACTTATATTGGCTGGTCCAGTTCTAATCCAACATCAGACCACCCAGAAACAGAGATCCAGGTGGCAGTTGAATGAGGAGTCCCAGCCAGAGTGGTGAACTGCAATTTGGTGGATCATCTCCAATCTATAATCAGGCAGCGTCGGGTATGTTTCTTCTGGTCCATGGTAGGATGAGGGTTCACACCATATACACTGACAGAACACCACCAGCCCACTCTCAACTAAATGGTATTGAGCAAACTCAGGAGGATGCCTCCATGGTCTACCACCCAAGTGGCTAGAAGTTGATAAGTGGCAAGGACTCCTGTATTCCAATAGAAAAGGAGAGATAGTGTGGTGGGGAGTCTGAAGGAATCTAACACCAGAGAAAGTGCAATGGGTGACTGCAGAAACCTATTTTTAAAAAGCAGGCCAAACCTAATGTATTCAACCAGGAATGGAAGGAGAGGCAACAATTCATTTCCTGCTTTATTCATGAAAGTCCATGAATTGGTACAATCTGTGATGGGAATATTTATGAAGCAATATACTGTGAGGATGAACCTACTAGTAGTTTTGTAGAACACCCCATCTCAATAAAGGGCATTATAGACCATCAAGGCCATACAATGCAGATTTTGGTGGCTGGTCTAGCTCTTTTTCAAAACTAGATCACTTGGAAATTGACATCCAGGAGAATGGGGGTTCCCCAACTGAATAATATACCTGGACAGGCACCACTCACCACAGAGCAGAATCTTATATGAGGCATAAGGCCACTGTAAGGGAAGGAAATGAAAAAAAAATTATCCATTCAAAGTTGAACCAAGGTGTGTATTATGGCAACTGGCAGCAACTGGTATCCAGAAGTAAATGAGGTGGACAAATGATGTAAACAATGTGCAAGGAAAGTATGTAGTGTGGTCCACACATTAGCCTGGAAGATCTCTACCGACGGATGACAAAAGTGAGCAGTCAATGATAGGGCAAGAAGATGAATATAGTGGGAGGAAACCACAAAATCACAAAGGGAAACTGAATGCAATGAAGAATAATCCTACCCAATGAGTTGGCAAATCCAAATGGGAATGGTCACAGGTAAAAGGCTGCAGGCAGAAGAAGGAAGAGGAAGAAAAACCATCAGAAAACATGGAACAGGCAGAGAAGATGATCTAGATCAGAATGGGAATAGAAATGATAAATGGAAGGTAGGTATATTGGCATAAAAGTGAAATTCCCCTGATGAGCCACCAAGGTCTTGGGAAGGAAAAAATGATGGTCACAGATGTGACACATCGACAGCAAACACATCCAACCTACGACGACCACTGGCAAAAAGGTACAAAGTAGGTGGGATAAGGAACAGGTAGCCAATGGTTTGAAAGGAGGCTAGGTAAGGGCATGAAGAATAACACTGAAATCCCATTCTTGAAGGGGCAGAGAACAAGGAGGTATGTAAGTGACGAAAAGGATGAAACAAGAGGGATATGACAGGAAGGGAGAGGAGAAAGCAGTCCCATAGTCTGCAATGGTTGAACAAACTAATCATTGTCAAAAAGCCAAGTGAAAATATGGAATGGTGAGGAATAAAAAGACTTGAAGGCAAGTAACCATGGTACAGAGACTAATTGCAGCAGATGTCATACTCATGTATAGACCACCAAGGAAGAAAAGCAGACCAAACAGAAGATAAGGGATTTTACACATGCAAAGTGTTCAGATCATCTCACACAGGACCAGACAAAAACCAGGCAGGATGCCAGAATGAAACACCAATGAGTAACACCAGATAAGAAGGGACCTGTATAGATAACAATTCAAGAGAGGGGATGGCTGAAGCAGTGCAAGAACAGGGAAAATAGTTGTGTAAGCTATAATGGGGTAATGAGAAGGACTTGACATGGAGTGGCTTGGATGACAGACATAACCCAAGGAAAAAGATGGATAGGAGGGTAGGCATACCAGTAATTATCAGTTCAATCTAGACTGAAGACATTCACTTCCAGAGCCAACAGATGAGGAAACAGGGATAAAAACAGTGGGATTTTGACCTTAATTCTATGACACCTGGTGCCACTTTTAAATTCCATTCTGTGCATGTCACAAAGTGTTACTGAGTTACATTGAAAATTTAATTAAACCACTTTACTACCAATATATTTGAACGAAATTAGCATTATCAAGTACATTATAATTCAAAGTACTATATAAATTTTATTCCTTTATTTCAGGCCTCGACAAATACTTTCAGATCTAGGAGCCAGTCCAAAAACTCAGAAGCAGGTGTGCCTAACCTAACTTCACTACTGTTTGTACTGGGAAATGAGGGCTACACCAGTGCCTCGATTATCCATGTTTTTTCTTTTCTCCAAATGTTCTCAAAATAATTGTGCCATTACAACTCTGGACAATAATTCACATGTTTTGGAGAAATTGTCGCTCAGAAATTAATTTTTGTTGCAAGATATCCAAGGTTTTCACATGCAGGATCTGACAGGCTTTCAAATCGTAAGTCAGCCAGTTCAAACCTAGCCTTGCCTCTTTTATTTTTAGCTGTTAAGACAGGAATACAAAATACAACATACACAGTAAGATTTCAATCAACTTAGTTGTCATCCACTGTTCTATGTTGTTGGTGTGTTGCTCAGTTATATATTGTCTTCTTTCCTACTGATAATTGGTATCTTCAGTTTGTTTTAACAAAGGCTTTTTGTAATAATTCCCCATTTTAAAATGGGGTGAAATGAGGCTAAGGTTAATGAGGCTAAGTTCAGAGAAGTGTCTGTAGTGCTTGGCAATTTTTTCTCGCCTTCTATGTATTAGTTTAATAGACAGATTGAATTTAGGTTTTAATTTTATATTTTAGTTAATTATGTATTATTTGTTTTAAACTATAGATTTGAAAGGTTTAACGATTTAAAAAATTTTTTCTATACTTTGAATCTCTAAAACAGTTTTGACGAATGAATGTAATAAATATTACTCTGGGGCTAATCTGTCTTGCCAAAGTTAATATTATATTGCCTGTGGGCACTTGTTGATGTGTGTCAACATAAAAAATTAAAGATAAAGAATAGGAGAGGAAAATAAAACATTAAAGTAAACTAGAAAAGATAAAGATGTGAAATTATACGTGACCCCAAGAAGATATTTTTAAATTATTCAATGAATAGAGTAAAAAAGTATGTACATATTTCATTTTCTTGATTTTAAACATTTCCTGCACTATAAATTAATGATAATAGGTAGAGTTAGTGATATGGTAGAGAAAATGACAAAATATAAACATTTACATTTAGGAGGTTCTAGAAATTATACAAGTGAAATGTGAAAACTGTATGATAAAAAAAAAGTATTTTTATACTTAACATGAAAATCACCTTGCAGGTGAACTATTCAGAGTCCAATTGCAAATAAGTACATTAAATAATAATTTTTTTTATTATATGTAGTAGAAAAAATCAAAATAAATTATTTTTCTGAAACTACATTCTTTTCAGAAAATTATTGTCAAATTTCAAACAGTTTCATCTACTAGAGTTATTTCTGGAATGAAATATGATGAGAGTGACATTACCTATGGGCATGCACATAGCCAGTAGTTGTAGGGTTAATGAGGGTGGCAAATTTTACCCATAGAGGAGCACCCAACTGAGAGCATAACTGCCAGAAGACCTGGGGACCACTCTGTGGGGAGGATCATACTCAGAGGAGATAAGCAATCTGCAACAAAAATGAAAGCAGCTAGGACGTAACAAGCCAACAGGAAAATGTGCAATGAGTGGTCTCAAAAGAGAAGATCCAAGATTTGAAAATAAAAAGAGTGAGAATGGATGCTCCCTAGTTAATAGGTAGAAGAGACAAAGGTCAAACAGAACGTATCATGACCAACCTGCTCCTTACCAATGGGAATATATGATTCAATGCATAATTAACTGCAAGAAGTTCCAAAAGAATGACGTGGAACTTCAACCTGACCAAAGACCCGCAACCTTGTGAGAGATGTATCCAGTAAAAGGTACAGCTTGGGACAGAGAGGTGGAAGAGAAATGCCAGCTGTGGTAATGTCTCTATAGAACCACCAGTCAAAATTGACTTGTAGAGAGGGTTGAAGAGTAAAAATCAAATCCAAGGGATCCCATACAAG